TTGCTCCAAAATTCAAAAAGGGAAACGTAAAGGACAAGGAGATAGGGCGGGAGAAGAGCTAGATTCTTTGCTTGGGGAGGATGTTGGCTGGAGTCGTGACTCCCAATAGGCAACTAATGCTGTGGAAAGAATAAGAGTTGGAATTTAGTACCTCTACTTACAACTTCTCATAATAAATTATGGAATTCCTCCAAGCCTCAGTTTCCTTATTTGCAAGTTGGAGTTGATAAGACTTACCTCATGGTAAAAATGAAATAGCAATGGGAAGCTGCCTGACATGTGCTGGGAGCTCAGTATCCATTCCCTTCCTCCTTTCTACCCCATTTGCACCCCCATGCTCCCCACCAACCAGCTCTGTGAGGGAGCACGGGAGATTGAAAAATCAGCCCTGCATGCACAGAGGAGAGAAGACACTTGGAATGAGGTTGCCAGATTTAGCAAATTAGAATACAGAATGCCTGGTTACATTTGAATTTCAGGTAAACAACAAATAATTTTTTTAGTATAAGTATATAAAAACAAAACAATTATTTGTTGTTTATCTGAAATTAAAATTTAACAGGAGTCCTGTATTTCATCTGGCAGCCGTACCCTAGAGCCCAGCTTCATCAGAATAGCATTCACCCACATAGTGAAAAGTCACTGGCCTAGGAATCCACATCATTTTTTAAGCACCTACCCATATTCTGGGGTTTCCCACATCTGGAATCTCACTTAATCCTCCCAATGACAAGAAAGTTTGGCTATACTCTGGCTATGTGGCCCTGCCTGGGAAAGTTGCCTAAGCTCTTTGTTCATAAGTTTGCCCATCTGTAAACAAGGACTATAATAGTATAAAGGTATGACCCTATCTCATAGGGTCGTTATGGGATTAAATGAGTCAATCCACTTAGAACCATTCTTGGCACATCATAAATGTTCAGTTTGTTAACTGTTATCATTACATTTTCTTTCCTAAGGCATAGGAAGTGCTCAGTGCCTGCCAAGCCCACAGCTTCTTTCTAGGTTATGTCTTCCCACCCACGAGGTGAAGGAAGTGAAGCTGCCGTGGGTCATGTTGTGACCAAGAGGGAAATTCTCTGTCTAATCTGGCCACTGCTGTCTGGCCCAGGGGTCAGTGCCAGACAGTGAAATGGGGCTCTGCTGGTGGGGGCGAGGCCACTTGCCTGGGAGGTACCTTAGCCCAACTCTCTTTCCAAAAGAGATGCTCCGAATTGGACAGTGACAGACTCCATCGGAGTTTTCCTTTGGGCATGAAAAGCTGAGATGCTGCCAGAAGAAAGCATCCCGAGTGCTCAGGTCACATCCTGAACGTCCAGGAAGTATCATCCCAATTCTCCATGAGACCATCTCCAGTCTGGAAGTGCCCCTGCTGAGTCTGTGTCTGGGGCTGCCCCATTTCCCACTGTATTCTCACAAGCCCTTCCCCTTGGTAAACAGGGTCCATCTCTCTTCTGCAACCTGAAAGAGCCTGTGTCTCAGATGAGGAAACAGAGCAAAGTGACAGCTCAGGTCACACAGCTGATGAACCTAGAGCCCCAGCTCCGGGAACACTGCTCTTCCTGCTCTACCAGGGTCTCTTTGCTCACGCTGCTCTTCCCTTCTATCTTGTCCTTCTCCTCTGCTGCCCAGAAACACAGCAGTCAGTACTGGGGATGGAGTGGGTGGACTGGACTGGCAAACACCTGGAAAAAGCCATCCTCTAACAGCTGAGGGGAAATATCCGCAATTTCCTTTTGAATTAGCTAAGAAATAAAAACAAATTATGCGCCTTCTGTCTTGTTCACAATGAATATTGTTGGTAAAAGCAGTTAATGCAAATTCAAAGAGGCAATAGCCCAAAGTGCTCACAGTAAAATTAATTATAGAAGAAAACCTGACTAAACAACTCCATCTTGTTAGAAATCTTGAAAACTGAAAAAAATTGATCAGAGAAAATTAGACTTACTAAAAAAATCAAGATGTTAAAATCACACAAAAATTTTTTTAAATAAAATTACACAGAGCAAAATTTGTTAATGATGAAGAATTGACAGAAGAATAAAAATCTTCATAAATCTTAGATCTGTAACATTTGACCCTGGAAGGTTGGATTTGGTCAAACAAAGAGGAAGAGGAGGGGGGAGAAGGGGGAAAAAACCCCCAAAACTACAGAAGGAAAACCACAACAGTAGGATCTGTAGTGTATAAAATGATACAATGTTCAGAATAGGCAAATCCATGGAGACAGAAAGGAGTTTAATGGTGGCCAGGAGCTGGGGGGAAGGGGAAATGGGGAGTGACTGCTAATAGGCATGGGGTTTCTTTGTGAAGTGAGGAAGATGTTCTGGAATTCGATTGTGGTGAAGGTTGCACAATTCTGTGAATATACTAAAAGCCACTGGATTGTACACTTTAAATGGGTAAATTGTATGGTATGTGAATTATATTTCAATAAAGCTGTTAAAAATGTGCCATGGACAAAATAAAACTGATTGATGAATTATATCTTTGTTGAATAATTCTTATGAAAAAGAATCAATTCTAATGAAAATAACTGCAGTAATATATACAGGAAAATGTTGGCAATAATTTGACTGCCCTGTATAGCAAACTGATCAAAGAATTAAGTGGGCTTGATGAGATTTGCTCTGAAAAATACTTGTACAATGAAAATTCATCAGCATAGGTATAATTATGATTTAAACGTTCGTTTTCGCCAACATGGCCCTGAAGTTGGAGAGGTTCTATTTGTCTACTGCTCTCCCCTCCCCTGCCTTAGGCCAAGCAGTTTTTCTGGCCATGGGGCTTCAGGATGGTGAAGAATGCAGCCTAGCTAGATTTTCACAGTACTCACCTTGTTTTGTAAAACGTTTCTTACGCCTCATTTTGGCCCTCCGACCAGCAAACAGGGTACTGACCCTCTCGGTCCAGGCAGCCTGACTGTCAGTATCTGCAACCCCGCAGCGAGGCCGTGTCATCTGGCGAAGGGTGGCGGGGTCCAGCACACCATTGACAGGCAGCTGGGATACCCACTGGAACTCCCTGTCAGGAGGAATTGAGATAAAGGACCACAAAAGGAGGGTGAGTGGTAGGAGTGAGGGCAGGGAACTGCCCTGGAGACAGCAGGAGGCTGGGACTGGGGTGGAAGGGAGGAATGGAGCATGACCCTCTGGAAACACGTGAGAGGCCAGCCTTCTAGTAGGAAGGAGGAGGCAATCTAAGCTTATACCCCATCACTCACAAGTCCCCTCTATCTCTCGCCCTACCTGATGGCATCGCTGAATTGCATGGATGTGGGAGCTTTGGAGA